GGTTCATCTGTACTCCAAACCTCAACATCCTACAAGACAGAGATGAGGGAATGGAGCAATTAGGCTGGTACTTAGCTCATATTTGGAACTTGCTTCTCATTTGTCCATGGGTTAGCCTTTTATTTTTTGTTTTTCTGAGGCAAGCCTTATAGCTCTTTTTTTTTTTTAAGCGAGTTTGAAAAGTAAACACAGGTGTGCCACACAATGCCAATCATTATGGAAGCAGATGCAAGCTTGCTGTAAAATCACACCCTTTGTGTTTGAAGAGCTAGGGACTTTTGTGCTTATTGAGAATAACTACCTTGACTTCATAGTCTGATGCCTCTTGTTCTCTTGGGAGGAAGAATCTATCGATCCTATTTAATGAAATCTTTAATTTATAGTACTGATATACCTTTTGGCCCCTGGATGTTTGGGATTGTTGCTAGAAGGTCTGAAACACAACAGGGGGCCAGTGATTCTCAGGGTCATCAACATGAGCACGAGCCTGAAAATGGGAGCTTTCCTGACACACAGGCTCTTCCACTCACTGGCTCTGACTTTGTTCTTCAGTAACGCTGCCATGACTTTCACCACTGGTTATCTTTATATTCAACAAAAAATAATAAGCAAACTCCTTGCTGCTCTTCTGGGCATCCTCCGAACATTCTCCACACTAAATCCAGAGTATGTAGAATGTATCTAATCATATCATCTGCTTTGTTAACATCCTTAAATATCTTAAATGTCTTTCCATTGCTCTTGGGATAAAACCCCTACATCCTTATGGCAGGTTAAGCCCTGTTTGATCTCTCTCCTGCCTTCCTCTTCAGCCTCCTTTCAAGAGACATTTTCCCCGTGTCCTGTACCCCAGCACCCTGGGCACCTTTCACTTGTTGAAACTGCTCCATGGCCATAAGGATTTCTGGCAGATTTCCTGTGTCAGGAACACTCTCCCACCCACTCCTCTGAACCTTCATTGCTCCCTCCTCACTCAGATCTCTGTATAAACACTGTTTCTAGGGAGAAGGCTTCTTGGAGCTCTTGTTTCAAACAGGGCTTTAAACTGGGTTCCTTGGCTCAGAACACATGTCAATTTGTTTCAGGTCTTCAGATCTCTATGGACCTAAAAGTGTGATCTCCTAGACTAGCAGCATGTTTACCACCTGGAAACTTAGACATGCAAATATTCACCGCACCTTATAACTCCTGAATCAGAAACTCTGCAGATGGGGCCTAGAAATCTTTCTTTTAAAGAAACCTCCAGGTCGTTCTGATAAAGGGTCAGGTGTGAGCTACAGCTTCAGATTTCAAGCTTCATAAGAGTAGGACAGCCTCACCCCCTCCCCTCCCTCCATTCCCTCTCCTCCCCTCCTCTCCTCTCCTTTACTCTCCTGGTATGCTCTCAAAAGTTATTTGTTTAGGGAATCCAGAGTAGAAAATTCACACATCCAGAAATTCAAGTAAATTCCATATGTGTAATGTATTTCTGGAGTCTTTGAATTTTGACTTCATTGGACTTTCTATGAGAACATTTTTAGTGTATTTTGGGCAGACAAATGATCTCATTGTGTTTAAACCTACTTAATTGATAAAATAGGTAATTGCAAAGTAGATAAATTTTACTAGGAATAACAGATTATTAAGTCATATCAATAAGCTCAATGACTGTCGACAATATATGCTTATTGAACATGTCAAATATATAAAAAGCTTAATGCGTGTCCTTCTTCCACATATTTCATGATGATGTTATTGACCTTTTTGTGACATTATAACAGATGTGATAACCAGTTTCTCACAATAATTTCTTTTTATTTCACTGGGTTATCAAACATGAATAATGTGAATTTTAAAAACAACCCCCATGTAGGCAAAAATTCTAATTTTTTAAAGTAGATGATCCTAAATATGTGGTTAAAATCTTTTGTCTCTGGCTTATTTTAAAACTCTAACTCCTTATACAAATGCATCAGGACAGGCTCTTCTATACTTTAATTAAAGACAAGTATTCAACATTCTTCAGGAGAATGATGCCTCTTCTTAGAAGCTTACCTTCAGGACTCACTGGGGCAGGCAGTGTTTGCCCCTATTCCTTTGATCAGGAGAAGACCCTGTACATGAAACCTGGGCAAACATTGCCTTCTGGCTCTACTGGCCAGGTAGGAGGCAGTCTCTGGAACACTGGCTCTTTGTGTTTGACTTGTGCTTAGAGATGCAGGTGGCTGGTTCCTTTGTTTCAACACAGGTTGCCGGCCAACATGCTTGGAAAAAGAAACTGTTTGGAATAATACACTTTCTGCTAAAATTTATTACATCATGCTAATTAAACTTATTTACTAAGGACAGGAATGTACACGTGCCTTTTGAGCTGCTGTTAGAAGAGGCATAGGATGTAAGGTTTATATTAGGTTTCTAAGTAGCAGAAAAAGTCTGATAGGTTCTGTGAGTGAAATCTGATCTGCATTCTAAAACTGGATTTAAACTTCTCCATTAATTTGTTTGTTTTTTAAAAAATGCATGGTTAGCAATTATTCACCTCTAAAGTGCTCAGATTTCAGCCTGTCACCTAAAGTGAAAACAGTTGGAAGTAACCATAACAAATCTTTTTTTTTTTTTTTCCACCCAGCACACTTATATGAAGTAGCAAGCAATGATGACTCCAGGCAATAAAACAGCAACTAGAAGCTTAGTCGTTGGAGCACAAAGCTAACCTATGCCAATACCCTTTGAACAGGGAAGTTTCTAAACCCAGAGAATTCTCATCCGGTAGCAGGATACAAACGTTATGTTGCCTTCTATGCTATTATTAATATCAGGACCTCTTATTTTACTGATCATATGTAATCCTCATGAAATTTGCTGAAACCAAAATTTTGATTATGAAGATTCTGTTTTACTGTTAATTTCCATTCTTTTCATGTATTTCTGTTCAGGAAAATAAAAATACATCAATAAATCGCTAATTTTTGTCTTGTTCCCTACAACGATGCCTCGTACAGAGGGGGACCTAAAAATTACTTGTCAAGTGAATAAATGAGTAGGGGTGTTTGCCAGATTTGTGGTATGCTGGATATCACAGCTGGTCAGTGGCATTTTTATAATTTCTGGTGACAGCCTGGCAGAGATTTCCCCCAGCTCCAGGAATTTTGTTTATGTTAGGTCAGAAGTTCTCAGAACGTTAATCCTTTCTTACTCTGAGCATTTGTTCTCAGACTTCAGTATGCATCAGAATCACATGATTAGTTCTGGGGTGAAGCCCAGGGTCTATACTGTGAACAGGCATCTGATTCAGAAGCAGGAGGTCCATGGACCGACCCATTTTTGAGAAATGCTTCTTATTTACTCTCAAACGTAATGTGTCCAGGACTGAACTCCGGATCTTCAACCGCAAACCTGCTCCTCCTGTAGCTCCTGTTACTCCTCATGATTACAGAAAATGTTAACCCCATTTTTCTAGATCAAAATCTTTAGAATTAACCTTGGTTATTCCCTTTCTTTCATACCCTATGTCTAACCCTTCAGGAAATCCTATTGTAACTGCCTTGAAAATATATCCAGAATCTGATCATTGTTTCTCTACCTCTACTGCTGCCACCTTGGTTCAAGCCACCTTCATCTCCACCATGGACTGTCAGCTCCTTGGTAGCTTCTCTGTTTACACTGTTGTCCCCTCTTCACTCTGTTCTTAACACAGCAGCCAGATGATACTGTCACTCAATATCCTTCCACAGCTTCTCATCTTATTTAATGGGAAAGACCAAGCCTCATAATGGCCTACCAAACCCTACATGCTCTGACTCCATTTGGCCTCATCTTCTACTGTCTTTCTGCTTCCGTTTCCCCACACCATCCTCTCTGACCCTTACAAATTTGCATCTGCCTTAGGGCCATGGAGTTGCTCTCCCCCTTGCCCCTGGAATACCTGTGGTACCTGCATGGCTTGCTTTCTTCCTTTCTGCAGGCTTTTCCTCCAGTGGTTCCCCCTCACTGAGGAAGGAACTAGGTTATATGAAATCAGAACTTTTTCCACTCTCTATCTCCAGCACTCTTTACTCCATTTCCTCAGCATTTATCTCACGTATTGACTGTATCCAACTTTACGATATAACCCCATGAAAGTAAGGGTTTGGTTTGGTTCATTGCTGAATGCGCAGGGTCCCGAAGAACACCTGTTCGCAGTGAAATAAGTGTTTGAGGAATGAATCTGAATCCTTTATCCTTTGGGTCATGTCTTTTCCCCACTGCTTATAGTTCATCCTTAGCTTCTAGCTGTGGTTTTATTTTAGTCTTTGAACATATTTGTTGCCTTCACTTTCCTACTGCTCAACTCTGGATCATTCACTTCCCCTTCTCTCTATCATTTGTTTGGCTTTATTCATTTTTCCACCCCCCATAAGATTTGGGTCATGTTTCAGTAGCACTTGGTTTTTTCACGATTTCATCTCCTTCCAGCCCCCAGCCTCTGCTATAGCTTGGCAAGTTTCAGTTTTCATCTTTACTCTTGTAGCTTTTAAGCCCCCACTCTATTGCTCCCAAAGCAATATGAGATGCTGTTTGTTGTGTATTAGAAAACAGTTGTGGATGTTGGCCATATATTGTATAATCTAATGTCAAGAGAGAACCAGTAAAAATAAAGTGTCATGGAGCAAGGGAGGGAGAGGTTAGGACAGGATATAATGTTTTGGGCTCTGGGGTTAATTCTTTAGAACTATCATTTATGAGAAGCCTTAGATCTTTCACTTAATGCTGCTCTTCAATATTATCCCAACTATTAAAACAGAAATGTCACTTTTAATAAAATTAAACCACTGTTGAATAAAATTTTAGTGATTGTTCCATGAGACAGTAAATTAGGCAGTCTTTAGGAACATATTTTTTCAACTTCGAATCCAGTATCTCTACTGATGATTTATATTATTGATCTTGTTGATCATACATCATGCTTAGAAAACTTTGAATGGTATATTCCACAAATGACTGGTGAGTAGGGTAACGTATAATATAAGGTGTGTGTTTACCTGGTGATGAATGTCCTCTCATTGATGAAGATCCAAGAGGGGTACTGGTGAGCCATCATAGTCATCTTTCTTTTCTTTTTGAGATGGTCTGAGGATACCATAAACATGAGAATAATATTAATAATTTGTCCCTATAGTGCATTCATAAATTAGTTTCTCATTTAAGTTGAGTGTTTTGTTGTATCAATATAAGAATATTTTAGAAAGTTTTTAAGTAGTATGTCATATGTGAGCAAAAATACAGAAAAATATATTATGTAAATGAAAAAATACAGAAGCAGTAACTCAAGACAAGTATGGATTGAGCAATTTGGTAAGTCTTTCAGATATATTTCTAGCAAAGTAAAAGTGACTCTATTGATTTGTATAACTCTGTATAAGGGGTCATATTCCTTCTATTGCGATAACTCACCCAAACTGGCTGAACCTTGCCCCAGTCAGCAGAACACAACTGTAATTCTAGGCAGCTAAAATCAAGCTCTGACTTGAAGAGTTGATTAGGTATGATGTAATATTCTTCAAGTCTCCTTCAGGCTCTGGAAACTGTGGTCAGATATGAATAATCTCCTCCTTTATATGTTCATATAAATGGCATTAGGGTGTGACCAGAGATGTAAAGTGTAATATTTTCTGGTCATTCCATTTTGCAGAAATTGAATATTCAGTTATCACGGCTCCAAGCCTATAAGATTTTAGGAGATATGGCCAGAATAAAAAGATGGGCAAAAGAGAGTTCATTTTTCTTTTTTAAAAAATAAAAAGGTGTGTGTGGTAGGGAGTGGATTTCCTCCTTTTCCTTTTAAAGCAGATTGTTTGGGTTGGGTAAGATGAATAAAAATTAGAAAATTTTATGTCCTAACTTTTCAGGTTACCAGCAAAAACCAGGAAAGCTATCCTGCTGTTCTCAAAAAATCCCTGATGCATCTTTTTCCTTGTAGAATGTTGTTAAACTCACTAGGCACTTTGTTACAGCCTTCAGGCTGAATGCTTGGCTGGAGTCTTATTTTATGCTTTTACCATTCTGATCATCATATCACCTTTTTGGTCACAAACCATCCTGGTATCTTTCTTAATAAATACAACCCAAGCCCCTTAACCTGACTTTCAGGCTTTCTTCAATTCCACCCAAACTTACCTCTCCAAGCTCCAAACTGAAACATTCCTTCACATCAGGCCTTGTAATCTAATAAAATTCCATGCCATTGAGTCTCTTCTCATGTATTCCCCTGGCAGCAGAGGGCCCTCTTCACTGCAGGTTCAGATGTCTGTCTGGTCCTTTTAGTCCCCAGTGGGACATCTTTAAGTCACCCCATGGCCTCTGAATTCACACTGTTGTCATTATTCTGCTTTCTACCTTGTATTGTCATTATTGATTTATACCCTACTTCCTTTTCTATTGCTATCTTCTTGCTCAAAGAACGGTGCTTCTCTAGTTGGAAATGGCATTCTCTGATAGCACATCACTGGCAGAAGTCTGTCTTATGCAGGACACCTGGAGGACTCATGCCAGAGACACAGAAGCTTAGTCACCAGGCAAAGTAACTCTATAGGTCAGAAGCCATGTGGATATTTTATGCTGCCCTGGGGACACACACACAACATGCTCCATGAGCCCAACGAATCCTGAGTCCCAATTACTCATTCACAGAACTTGGTCTGGGCTATTTGGTTATACAGGTAACACAGGTTACTCCAGCTTCTAAAAGTTGAGTTTTGCCCCTGGATTTTGTCATGCTAATAACCCACCAAAAGGGTTATTAACATCCCCTACTGAGATCCCCCAGTAATGACCTTGGAGCCCGAACACTTCCTTCTTCCTCATGGATCTAGATTATTTGCCATATATTCCTTTAATTTAGTCCTACCTCCACCTCTCCACCCATGTTCCAAGAGCCTACACCTTGCCAAATAGTTCACTTTCTCTCCTCATTTCTCTGCATCTTAGCAACATTTGACGAGATTGATTTTTCTCCCTTTTAAAACACCTTCCTCTTGATGCTTTTGAGACAAACCACGAATAACAAACACCTTGCTCTAATTTCCTGCTATCTCACAGGCCTCAACAGTAGTCTCCGTTGCTGACTCCTCCTTTATATGAGCACTACATCCTGGCTTGTTTGAGTAGTCCATTCTCAGCCATCTTTTCTTCTCTGCCTATTCATTCTGCTGGGTAATCTAATCCATCTCCGGCCCAGCATCTCTGCTGAGCCTCAGATGCATGTCACCACCTACCTAATCTCTACTTAGATGTGTCCCAGGTATCTCAATATCTACATGACTGAAACAGAACCACTGACTTTCCCCCATGCTCTAGAATTTCATTCTCCAGAATTCTTTGCCATCTAGGCATCAAAACTAATACTGTGTCTCATTTTTTTCCTTTCACCATAAGCCAAGTTCAATCCAAAAGTAAGCCCTATTCACTGTACCACTAACACAGTCCAAATTTGAAAGCTTTGCTTTCCACTGCTACAACCCTAAGCAAAGCCACCATCATCTTTTTCCTGGATTATTGCATTGGCCTCCTAAATGGCTTCCCTCTGTTATGGTCTGAATGTTTGTGCTCCCACGAAACTTACATGTTAAAGCTTAATCCTCAATGCAATAGTATTAAGAGCTGGGGACTTTAGGAGGTGATTAGGTCAGGATGGTGAAGACTTCATGAACGTGATTAGTGCCTTTATAAAAAAGACTTCAGAGAGCTGCACGGACCCTTCCACCGTGTGAGAGCATAACAGGAGGGCCATCTAAGAATCAGACAGCTTGCTCCCCTCACCAGAAACTGGGGATATTTGGAAGTGAAGAACTACTGATAGCAGTTTCTTATAATCACAAAGTGAAAATTGGCGGCGATGGACTGCAAAGTCATTGCAGTGGCTTTCCAACTTGCTCACTCTTTATTTGCATTCATAAGAAATAACCAAAGATATCATTAAAGAGGGAAAATAATTGTAATGTAATTATAGTGGCAAACTTGTAATCTATGCTGAAGTAACTAATAGCCAGCTTCAGAAGACTTCAGAAGATGTGATGAAATGACTTCCAAGTCTCTTACATTATTCTCTGAGTTTAGGAAGGAAGACAGTTGAATAGAATTTAATGTAAGAAAATAAAAACAGGATAAAATTTTCATTCATAAGCAGCATATAATTTTTGAGTAAGAAATAATATTGATCATGTTTGATCTAAAAATTAGCTAAATAAAATATTCAAACAGTTTAAATATCTGAAAGGTAAGAACATGATTTGGTAAAAGTCCCATTGTTAGTATTAATAGTGAAGTGAAATATAAAAGTTAGCTCGGTGTGGTGGCACATACATGTAATCCCAACTACTTGGGAGGCTGAGGAATGCAACTCACTTAAACCTGGAAACGGAGGTTGCAGTGAGCTGAGATTGCCCCACTGCACTCCAGCATGAGCAATAGAGTGAGACTGTCTCAAAACAGCAGCAGCAGCAGCAACAACAACAATAAAAACAAAAAAAGAAAAAATAAAGAACAAAACAAACACATTGAAGTGAGGCATAGATCTGTGAATTCAAACAGTCTCTCATCCTCATTTTCCCATTCCCATTTACCATGATTCATAGCAAATTAAAACCTGCTAGGGCTCTTGTAAAAATCTTCTAAATTATAAAGACTTGGTAGATGTAAGCATCTGAGCAAGTTTTCTCATAGACTTAAGAGGAGGATAACAGAGAAGTCATGAATAGCAAAGAGGGAGAGAATTTATGAAGAAAGAAAAACTTACAGGTCTAGAAGCCTGGTGGTCTTACTTGGGATGCTCACAGTTATTTTGGTAGAATGTAATACACTACAACTTGAGGAGGAAGATGGTTGTTACAAATCTATGTAGACCCTTAAGCTGGAGATTATTGACTTAGATTGTGTGTAAAATAAGATCACTTATTTAATAAGTTTGGTTATTTGCTTTTTCATTTTGTCCAGAAACAATGAAGCTGGAGAGACAGGGAATTAGACTGGTCAGCAATTAAGTCCTGGAGAAATAAACAGCACTGGAAGTACTAGGAGAGGTAGAATTGGTCAAAGCAGGTCAATGAGATCTAGAGCCTGAGGAGGCAGTGTTGGAAAGCATCAGCGTTCCAGTAATGCTGAGACCTGAGATCATCGGAAGCATCCGTGGTTCACCACCCCCTGCTCTGCATTCCTGTCTGGATGTGGGCTTGCCAGGACTTACCAGTTACCTTGTGACCAGAATGAGGCCAGAGGACAGGAAGTAAACTCTAGTATAAATTAAATCTAATGGGTCAGTAATTTAAAGTAATGTCCTGTTACCCAAGCATGGGTTAATTAAATGGTTACATGTCTAAAAGTGGAAAATTTGGTTCACTCATTTGTATATTCAACAAATATTTCATGAGTTCCTTCTCTGCACCTGCTACCGTGCTAGGCACAGAAAATATAGCCTGTATCTATATCTGTAGCCTCTTATTTCTGAGGCCATAAGGTGCACAAAATGTCACAATACTCATGATTTTACAAAGATAATTATATATCTTTGTATATATTATATATGTATATTATATATACAATTATATATTATATATGACATATATACACACATATACACATATATATATATATAACTTCCCTGTAGTTAGCACCTGTATATATATGGCTATATACAGATATGGCTATATACAGTGTGCTATATATACAGTGTGTATGTATATGTATATATACCCACTGTATATATACATTTTCTTTTCTTTTTTTTTTTTTTTTTTAGATGGAATTTCGCTCTTGTTACCCAGGCTGGAGTGCAATGGTGCGATCTCGGCTCACCGCAACCTCTGCCTCCTGGGTTCAGGCAATTCTCCTGCCTCAGCCTCCTGAGTAGCTGGGATTACAGGCACACGCCACCATGCCCAGCTGAATTTTTGTATTTTTAGGAGAGACGGGGTTTCACCATGTTGACCAGGATGGTCTCGATCTCTTGACCTCGTGATCCACCCGCCTCGGCCTCCCAGAGTGCTGGGATTACAGGCGTGAGCCACCGCGCCTGGTGTACATTTTCTTTTTTTAGAGACTAGATACTGGATGGAATTATAGATGCTTTGTGTGTGTCTGTGTGTATATACATATATATATATTACAAATACACAATATATGTAATATATAATATATACAGGTGCTAACTTCTCTGTATTTCCTAGCCAAAGACAATTTCTCTTGCTTCTCAACTGTCACAGGAGATTTTCTGTAGCTCTCTAATTACTTACTGCTTTCTCTCTCTAACTGTATTTTATTTTAGTTAATTTGACTACTAGATCCTTTAGAACAGAATTATTGCTATTTCATTTTTGTTTCTTCTAAAGTGGGTGAATATATGCAGGCATATAGATAAAACATACACAAAATATTGAATACATCCAACATACAGAGAGGTATATTATAATATTAATAAAATTAAAAGCTAAGAGATTATGAGTGAGGATTATTATTTTTTATTTTGTATGTACTTTCTAAGTCATATACAAGGAATATATGTTACATCTCTCTCACCCACATCCCCAATAAAAGTTACTTAAAAAAGAACAGAAAGTATCACCCTAGAATAGCAAGCACGTTTTTAATTATGAGATAAGACTATATTAAGGACTGTACACATGGAGAATCTTTTTAATAAAATATTGTTTCAGCTTGAAAAAGCATTAGAAAGTTACAATTATGTACTCATCTCCAAAATAAAGCTGTTTTCTCAAAGTTATGACCTGGAACTTTGGAGTAGAGAAGAGCAGAGTCATATGCAATTACATCACTTCAAGAAAATGAGACAAAGCATCTATAATTCCCTCCAGTATCTAGTTCTCTAAAAAAAGGAAGAGTTAACAGAGTGATGGTTTCTGGAAACATTTGGCTTCATGTTTTTTCTTAAAATGTGCTTTATTTGCCGAGACAGTAAAAGTAAAAGTTGGCATATACAAACTATCACTTAATTAAGTGATATTGGTTGCAGTCCACAATTGTTGATTTTGAAATAGAAATAATGTATTATAATCCTTGAATCTAAGAGAGCACTAAACAGGATATGGATCAAACACCCTTCTATGTGAGCATACCACTGCCCTCAGTTCAAGTGGAATATAATTGGAAATGCCAAGCCTTTACTATTCTGTTGCAAATCTGCATGGTCCCAATGCTGTGCATTTTATTCTGCTCAAGGTGCCCTCAGATTGTTAAAGAAAGCAGAAACAGTAAGAGAAGCAAATTTCTATTAAGGCACTTAAAGCATCTTGCTACTACGGGGTCTGGGAACTGCTGCTTAGTCTGCCAGCAGCATCTTCTGGAATTACTGGTGTGGTGGAGCTCAAGGATTTTCTGCTTCACCTGAGCTTCCCAGGATAAATTCTAAGGTTGACTTTACAAATATCATGATTCATTTTTCCTGTTTGTCTACTGGCTGCAAAAGAATTGACACTCTCTACTCTTGAGCTTCTTTATTAGTCTCTGGGAGATGATGAGTTTTTCCTTTAACCATCTATGCTATTAATATAACACCCTTGTTACTTAAATAGGACAACTCCTAGAAGCAGTGGTATTAGTTAAGTTTGGTAGTTGAGATTATGTTGTGAAAGTGAGTAAATCACTCTAACTGATCATTTTAAAGATATAAATTGATTTTTGCAACAGAATAACTTTAGCATAAAGGGAGAATATTCAGAATTCCTTTCTCAGAGGTTGTAGTTTCAAATGGCCTATATTAAATATTTTAAAAATCTAAGCTTTTATATGAAGCCTATCACTAGCAACTGTGAATTCCCCATCTACATTGTAATAAATGAATCTATATAAGCAAATGGATGGTTAGCATTGGGTTTCTATTTTAATTAAAAGTATAGGATGCTTCTTATTTTAGAAAATTAAAACAAGAGTCAGGTATAGAACTTTAATTGCATGCTTAAAATACATGTTACATACATATTATATTATGAATATAACTGGAAAAGTTAATTTTTTTATCATTGCTGAGTCTCTCTCTGTCACTCTCTTTTCTCTTTCTCTCTCTGATTGACCAAAACATTTAATAGTTTATAATAAAATGTTATGCACATTAGAAATAGTAGAAAAGCTTTATAAAGTTTTTATCTAAATCTATCTAAACAGATTTTAACTAGGAAGACTTACACCAAATTATGTGGTTAAATAGATTAATCTCAAATGAATTTCAAATATGGTTAAGTAAATATATCTCAATTGAGGCTACTATTTTTCATTTAGACATATGTCTATTAATAAATATAAAGGCAAATAACTTGTTTAAAGTTGATATATAACAACATGTAAATTCAGCGTAAAAGTATATTTCCTCTTTGAAAAATGTTTATTGAATATTGAACTCTAACTTATTCTAAATCAATTTGATTCTTTTCTAAGTTTTTAGCTAAACTGTACTAAAAATGATCAGACCCCAGAGGACAATAAGGTAGCAAGCTTCAGCTAGGTTGGCTTTAGAATTATGTCCACAATTCTCCAGTCAATATCTAATTATAAGCACACTGGAGAATTTCAACTCTGTAATTTGAAAAAAGAATCCATTAAAACACTGATGATATTAAGTTAGGGTATACTGCGAATGATTTGGTTGTTTTATTTAATAAAATAACAAGATAAAAATAACATCAATGGAAATAACTAGTCATAGATGCTAAGTTGTTGCCCTCAAGAAAATTAGCAACATTAATATCTAACAGCATTGACAAAAGTGCCCTTTAAGTAAAACTTTATAATATAAAGTCACTTTCCTATAATTCAAGCTTAAGAGGTAGAGACTGACAAAACACAAGTATCATTTTTTCATGTTTCTTGTCCATCAAATCAAAGATCACTTCAGTACAATTCAATACCTGCTGAAATATAAGGACATGGATTGGATTATACGGTCTAAACTGATGAACGTTATTCCAAAGCAGTCTCCTTTATAAGACTCAAATGGCATGAATCCCACAATATGAGATTCTGTGTAACTCTCTTACTCTAAAATTCTATTTTCTTTTTAGAAATAACAGATTAATATAAATGTGAGTTTTTCAAAAGAAATGTAATTGAGTAGCAAATATGTCTGAATTTGCCACCACATACTCTGTCCGTAAAATGGAAAGAAGCCAGGTCATTTCGTTGCCACTCAGAGAGGTGATCCTAGCCCACCTGCACCTGCTTGCCTAACCTGGACCCACTCTCTGGGAAGCAGTTCAATTCCAGCATCCTAGTACATACTGTCTGGTCTCCCCAGTTCAGCTAGCCCTCCCTGATAACGGCTCCTTTGGCAGAGCAGCTTATTCTTAATGCTAACAGGAGGTACCATTTACAGGACACTTGCCAAGGGTTCAGTTCCCACCAAAGAAAGCCCTATGTGGCAGATCCTTCCATGATGTTTGTATAGACAAACGTTTGAAGCTTAGGACAAGAAACTAGCAAAGGGGCAAACTAATAAGTGACAAAGCCAAGCTTTGAACCTATCACCCTCCTGCTTCAGAATTCATATCCTTACCTCATGTACTCCTATTTAATTATTTATGATAATTCTTTCATTGTTTGGTGAGACCTTATATTGAAAATTCAGTAGTTGATTTTTTGGGGACGGGGATGCTTTCTGTCACTTTGCAGAAACAAATGAAAGTTTAGCTGAACTCTCATTTAAAATCTTTCCAGTGTGATGATTCAACACAATATTCTAACCATAAGAATACTCAGAGGAAGGGAGGGGGGTGTCATTCAGGAGTCTAATATCTTTTTATGAGTAAGCGCCAGGCAGAATTACAGGTAAAGGGCTCATTGGACTAAAGGGAGGAGGGGTTCTGTGGTCACATTTACTTCCAAGCCCTTCTCTGCACCCTTTCCCACTCGTCTCTCCCCTCTCCCCCTGCACCCTACAAGCTTACCTTGGTTAGGAAAGCATATCCTGAGAAAATCAAAAGGAAAAGTGATGTGCGGGACACATACATACACTCAACTTTGCTGCCTATGGATTCTGCTTTCTAATAACTTGCCCTCAACCTGACCCCAGGGAGTGGATTAGAAAGTTCTTTCCCCTACCCCCATTTTTCACCTGTTATTTACACTGTGAGCAGGAAGAGTCTTTTCACCATCGTTGTTGGGCTGAACTTGCTCCGCGGTTTGTTGCCGGCTGGGTCAGGAACTCTGGTTGAAGGAAAGCGGTGTCCTGTCTCTGCTGGTGCTGGGAATTAACGAGTCACTCACCTGTAGGGGAGGTCCTAGGCCCGCGCGGGCGGAGGGGCGGCGCCTGTCTCCTCCCAGAGCTTGGCTCAGCTGGGCGCCTGCAGTGCCCCCTACGCGGTCAGCAATCCTAGAGCCCAAGGAGCTGTTAATTACTTCTCCTTTTCTCCACAGCAGGGAAGTGTAAGAAACCTGAGCCACTCCCTGTGCCTCAGTGCATGTTGGGAGTGTTTACTTTCTTTCTTAGGAACAGCTGATAGGTACACTCCTTTGCTCTCTGCCACACTTCTTGAGAAATGAATGGACATTCTAGTTAACGCTTTAACCACGGGATTTGACTGACGCTGATCTCTATTCTCTAGTCCACCCAGACTGTAGCTAATTGGTCTATGCGAAATGACACCAACCAAGACTGGAACACCATTAGTCACACGTCTTTCTTAAGATTTTTCTTTTTCAATTTGAGATTTGTTAATTTTATTTTCCTTGTTCTTTTGCTCACACATTTCCCTGCCAGCACTTTTTCACCCAGAGCAGTGTTTCACACTTCAGGGTGCACCAGGACCACCCATGGATTCTACTAAACACAGGTACCCATCGGCCTCACCACCTGTGAGACTGTGAGTTAGTAGGTCATGGGTACACTTCAGGTATTTATATTTTTTACAAGCTCTACAGAAGAAACTGGTAGACATCAAAGTTTGAAAATGAACGTAATAAAACAAAACAGTGGAAATAAATAATACTTCAGTCATTTTCTACTGGATTGGATTTGGGGGCTTTGTTTTTGCCAATACCTCCAGTTTCAAAAGGACACCAAAAAGGCTTTGAAACTGTTAAGTGACAGATGCTGTGGAAATATGAAGTATTTCCACACACACACACACACACATTTTTTAACAATCAATTTTATTTTACTGGTTTCCTATGTAAAGCAGCTATTCATAATTTTTTAAACATAACAGATTATTTTACAAATGTAAACCTGGGAGCCCTTAAAAGAAATTCAGTGTGATTTCTACAAAAAGTTCAGCAGGCAAAGTTAATTTCTGGTATCTTTCCTGTTCAAACTCCAGATAAACAGAATGACTAACCTGTCACTCTAGATGTTCATGTTGCATGTTTGGCATAGCGCTTTAGTAGGATCCTATATGTTCAAAAGGTGAGGCAGGCCAGGGACAGTGACTCATGCCTGTAATCCCAGCACTTTGGGAGACTGAAGCCAGTGGATCATTTTAGCCCAGGAGTTCAAGACCAGCCTGGGCAACATGGCAAACCCCTGTCTCAAAAAAAAAAAAAAAAAATTAGGCCAGCATCATGGCATTGCAGTGCGTGCCTGCAGTCCCAGCTACTTGGAAGGCTGACGTGGGAGGATCACTTAAGCCTGGGAGGTTGAGGCTGCAGGGAGCCAAGATAGCATCACTGCACTCCAGCCTGGATGACATAGCAAGATCTTGACTCGAAAAAAATGAAAAAAATCAGGCAGTTTATCTATTTTACTTGTGTTGTGTAAAGACCAGGAACTATTAGATTTATCATTCTTTGAGCTTATGGTTTTTACTGGATCACAATCAGAGATTTTATAATCTTAATTAAGGACATGTGTGACTTAGTATTACTTGCAAATATTAGTTTGTCATGCTGGCTCCATAACTCTCTGGTATGTGGCTGCTGGTATGGACTTACCTTTGAAAGATGACTAGGAGGACCTGGAGTGGTTACAGTACTAGGTTCCAGAATATCTTGCTCAAATCCATGCTCCATCTCCATTGTCTATGCTTGAAGTGGATCATTTGCTTATTATCAGTATCAGGGCAATATTCTTTCTCATCTTTTATCGGCAAGCATTCCTGAAACCTTTATTCTGATTATTGCTTTCCAACTGGTTTTCTTTAGTTCGAGGCTTAGTAACTTCTGTTGCTTTTTAGTATTGTATCTGTTGGTAAATATGTAATTTTTATTTGGTAATATTAAAAGTATATAATTGCACACATGCAATGTGGAAAATTTGAAAAACGTAGAAATGCAAAGGACAAAATCACCTCTAATTGCATCTCTCAAGTATAATTGTCATAAACAATTTGTTGAATGTATTTATTGACTGATTTTCCCTGTGGATGTTTATCATAATGCTATTACATTTGGTTTGTTGGCTTATAGCCTGTTTTCATCACATCAAACATAGTATGAAAAATTTACCACAAATCAGTCAGTTTTTTTCCTGCAGTGTAATTTTAACTAGCTGCTTTGTATTACAGCAAATGAAAATACCATTACTTATTTAATCATTGTGATAAAGTTATATTGTTATAAACAACACTGCAGTGAATGTTTACATATGACTGCACATAATCATGACTATACTTTTTAGATACATTTCAAAAATTGAAGTTGCCAGATGTAAGGCAATGTGCATTTTAAAGAATTTCTCTCCTTTAAAAAATCGTCATCAGTTTTATACTCCCAGGGCAGCTAACATGGTAATTATATTTATTTTAAACATTTATTAATTTGAAAGGTAAAAAATCCATATCTTATTTTAAATATATATATATTTGTACTGGTAAGTTTGGACTCTTTAGACTTTGCATTTTTCCTTTATTGTTTATTGCACTCTTTGTTCATCTTTTTCTTTATTGATTTATAAGTTCTCTTTATATATTAAACATATCAACTCTTCATCATATATGTTGTGACTATACTTCCAAGGTGATTTGTTTACATTTTAATCTTGTTTATGGAATTTTGACATATAAAAGTTTAAAAATTTAAATAGTCAAATCTATTATTTTTCTTTATCAGTTACATCACAGTTTTATAAAAGCTTTCCCATCTGTAGAGTATATAAATATGTACATATATTTTTTCTTCTAGTTTTTCTAAGATTTAGATATGATTTCTTTATTAAATTGAACATTTCAACCCATCTAGACTTTATTATGTTAAACACTATGACATTTAGATCTAACTTAAGTTTTCTAAGTTATTAGTTTGTTGACCAAGTCACATTTATTAAATAACTATAGATTATAAAATTTGAATCAAGGACCATGTCTGTCTTATCCTCTGTTTTATCCACTAAGCTTAGCACAGTGACTGGCAGGCCCATGGTTGCTCAGATCAAATGTTTAACTAGCACTCTTGACTTCTTTATTTCCCTTTTTCCAAACCCAGTAAATCAGCAAGTCCTGGTAAACTGCTACCAGTTTACATCAGGCCAGCATCATCTCTTGCTTGGATACCATAAATGACCTCCAAACTGGGCTTTATGCCTCTACTCTTATCCTACTACAGTCCATTCTTCACCTGTAGCCAGCATAATCTTTTATAAGCAATATCTAGACTACAGTACCACTTCTGATTTTCTTTGTTTAAAGGTTTTCTAGTGGTTGCCTTGCACATCTGGAATAAAATCTAAATCTGAACTGCTTACCATGCCCTACAATGCCCTACATAACTGATTCAGACCTGCTTCTTTGACCTTATTGATTTTCTGTTTCCTTGGTACTAATTCTAAACTTGCTGCCCTGGTTTAATTTTTGGAATAAACTAAACTTTTTGTCTCAATACCTTTGTATTTGGTATTGACTCAGTTAAGAAAGCTCTGCCCTGGTCACAGGTGGTTTATTTTCATTATTCTGTTTTTTTTCCCCCTCAAATATTACCTCCTTAGAGATGCTTCCTATGACCACTCTGTTTGAAGAAGGCGTCCAGTCTTTCTCTATCATAGCATCCTGTTTCACTGTATTTGTGGAAATTATCATTAGCTAAATGTGTTTTATTGTTTGGGATTGCCTCTTTATTTTACGTCTTCTGTCATTAAAATATAAACTCTAAGAGATCACAAACCTTGATTTGTAGGTTCATTCCTCTATGCTCAGTGTCTAGAACAATGTGTGGTCCCCTGAGATTCAAGAAACACTAGGACATGAACAAATAGCAACAATAAATAAGTGTTGAGTAAATAAACATAGATCACCCTGTTTCTTGATTTGAAATGACACTTTTATCAAACACTAAGGGCATACATATTTTTTGCCTTACACTTCGTTTCACACCTGAGGCTATGCCTAAAGCATATGTGCTAAGGAAGGAAGAAAGGAAGCAGAAGCAGTGTAGCTCCAAACAATGAGGGGACTACCAGTAAAAACCTTGCTGGAAAATTGTCTTAAAGAGGAAGTCAGGCCTTCACTAGGAGGCAATGTGTTAATTACATTTTCAATGTGTAAAGTTTAGAATAAATATATTTTACAACTGGAAATTTTTCCCATAAAGATTTTAATAAATTACAGCAACCATAACTGATTAAGTTTTTTGGGAAACCCCAACCATTTATCTTGAAGAATAAACCATCACTTCCTGTTTCAGATGAGAAGCATGTATTGCTTTCCTGTGAAAACAGACTTCAGAAGTTTAATAATAGTAAAAAAAACTTTGTTGAAAAAATAAAGGAGGAGAAATTTCCTTTAAAAATGAACACAGAACTTTAATTTTAAAAATGCTGTTATTAGCACATCAAAAAGGTTATCCTTCATAATCAAGTTGGCTTCATCCCTGAGATGCAAGGCTCATTCAACATATGCAAATCAATAAATATAATTTATCACATAAACAGAAACAAAGACAAAAATCACATGATTATCTCAATAGATGCAGAGAAGGACTTCAACAAAATTCAACAACTCTTCATGCTAAAAGCTCTTAATAAACTAGGTATTAATGGAACACATCTCAAAATAATAAGAGCTATTTGTGACAAACCCACAGCCAATAGCATACTGAACAGGCAAAGAGTGGAAGCATTCCCTTTGAAAACCAGTACAAGACAAGGATGCCTTCTCTCATCATTCCTATTCAGCATAGTATTGGAAGTTCTGGCCAGGGCAATCAGGCAAAAGAAAGAAATAAAGGGTATTCAAATAGGTAAAGAAAAAGTCAAATTGTCTCTATTTTCAGATGACATAACTATATTTAGAAGACCCATCTTAGCCCCAAATCTCCTTAAGCTGATAAGCAACTTCAGCAGAGTCTCAGGATATAAAATCAATGTGCAAAAATCGCAAGAATTTTTATACATCAATAACAGACAAACAGAGAGTCAAATCTTAAGTGAACTCTCATTCACAATTGCTACAAAGAGAATTAAATACCTAGGAATACAACTTAAGAGGGACGTGAAGGACCTCTTCAAAAAGAACTACAAACCACTGCTCAAGGA